TTAAAATTTTATTATTTGCTTAAAAATTTCACATAAATATAGGAATTTCATTATATATTAAATATTCTTAAAAGTATGTGTAAGCACAAAAATAAGAGAGAGAACTAAAATTATTATTTTTTTATATTATAATAAAATATTTCTTATTAAAGAACAGATATTAAAATCTCTTCTAAATTTTTAACAAATCTTGTCACTTTTTTTATATTATCTTGATCTGTCAAATAATAATATCAATCTTTTGCTCTTTCAAATAATTTATTTATTATTAAATAATTTTTTTTTATAGCCATTTCCATTTTTGATTGAGATTAGAGTACTTTTATTAAATTGTGAGATTGATATATTTCCAAGTCACTTTTCTTAAAAGTTTCTTGAAAACTTCTTTATGCTTCTAATATCAGAATATCAGAATTGCTACAGAGTTATACATGAAAAATATAATAATAGGACAAGAGATAATGATTGAAGAATTTATAATCATACTCTGTAATCAAGAAATTTAACATATCTTTTTCTTCTTGCAATCATTTTAAAACTGCATATATCTCTTCTGTAATAAGCTTTTGGATTAAAAGAAAAATTTATGAATCTTGACAAGAACTGCTAGATTTATATTAGTAATAGATATTGTTTTTATGTAAAAATTGATAGTGACTTCTTTTATTTTTATTTTTTTTTATCAAGTTTCAAGATTATATGACATATACCTAAAAATAATAAAAAAACAAAAATAAATTGAAATAAAAAAATGATAAATAAAAAGAGATAGGTAAAGATTAAAGAAATGAAAAAGAAGCAAAGAAGAAAAATAATAAGAGAAGAGAAAATGAAAGAGAAAAATTGAAAAAAAATAATAAGGAAAAAGAGCAAATAAAAAATAAGAAAAAGAGAAGAGAAAATAAAGAACAAATGATAAGAAGAAAAAAAAATAAAGAAATAATAAGAAGAAAAATAAAAGAGGATTAAAAAAAATAAAAATAATGAGGAAAAAAAATAAATAAGAGAAAAGAGAGAAAAAATAAAGAACAAATAATAAGAAGAGAAAAAGAAAGAAAAATAAAGAATAAATAATAAGAAAAAAAAGAAAAGAGAAAATAAAGAATAAATATAAGAAGGAAACAAGAAGAGAAAATAAAGAATAAATGATAAGAAAGAAGAAAAATAAAGAATAAATAATGAGAAGAAAGAAAAATAAAGAATGAATAATAGGAAGAGAAAATAATGAATGGATAATAAGAAGAAAAAAAAATAAAGAATAAATAATAAGAAGAAGAGAAAATAAAGAACAAATAATGAGAAGAAAAATCAAAAAAAAGTAAAAAAAAAAGAAATAAAAAAAATTAACCTATTAATAATATCATATATAATAGAAGTTCTTGTTTTGAGTTTGCTGTGATAGGACTTGAAAGAATTTGTCAAAGTTACTTAAAGAAGAAAAAGTAAATATTATTATACTTAAAATACTTACTTTTTCAAATTTTTCAAGTAATTCAAAAAATATACTTGACATTAACTTGTAAAGAATATGTAGTTATTATATTCTAAACAAGTACTTTACAACTGATCTGAGTTTTTTTATATATTACTTGAATTATTTTATTAAAAGTTAATCTATGATAGATATTTTTGATCTATATTTAAATAATATGAATAGTATATAGAAGAATATCATATTCTTGCTCTCCTATATAGAGATCAGAAAAGGTGATTATAATTTCATTAGCTTTCATACTACTCTAATCAAGTAATATATATATTTATAATAATTAATTTTATATTAATTTTAAAGAAATATCAAAGTTAAGTTAATTTGAATTCTTTTAATTAATAAAAATTCTGATAAAAATTTCAGATACTTAAAAAAAATAATTAAATATTATAATCTTTTTCAGAAATTTAATCTTAATTATATTATAATCTGAATATATACTTTAGAACAAAATACCTTATAATCTGATTAAAAGAAGTATAATAAGTTTATCTAATAAACTTACAGAAATTATACTAATTATAGATGAATATAATTTTTAGTTTGATAATTAAGAAAAAGTAATTAATAAAATATTAGCTTATTAAAATTTCTTATTTTTTAATTAAAAACTTTGTGATATTTAAAAATAAAATTATATTAATAATAAATCTGTTATTATTTAATATATTAATCAATTTCAAGATTTTTTTAAAGATTCTTATAGAGAAATAAATTGGAATTAGATCAAATAGTATACGTAAATCTGCTGATATTTATTAGATATTAAAAAATATATAAATACAAAATGTTGTGATAAGTATAAAATACCAGAATTTGAATTATTATTAAGTAAAAATAATAGATTCTTTCTTTCTATTACTTAAGAAAGAAATAATTATTTTCTTAATTCTATCCATCTTCTTGATTATATTAACAAACACAAAATTTCATCTTATAATTATCATTATCCATTAATTTTAATCAAAATGTATCAATACCTTTTTTGTAATATTTATAACAAATATTTTCCCATCTTAAAATTTATAATCAATCATGAGAAACATAAATATCCAGATTTTCATTGATAAGCATTACTAGATTTACATCTTTACATCTATCTTAATCATGACTACATTATATTTTTGATTTCTTTTTATCAAGACGTAATACACCTTCTTGGGAAACTGAAACAATTAATCTTCCATCTTGCGTATAAATCCGTCCCGAGGCCAATGCACGGCCACCTGCCGCTTTAGGAGTTTCCATTGTATATAAAAGCCTAATAGAAAAATGTTAACATTTTATTTATGATTTTTTATATGCATTTAATTTAATTACCATTCATCAGCTCTAAAGTTTGAATCGTGAAACCAAATAGAGTGACATAAAGATGCCAACATTCCTATTCGCATTTTAGAAATTGGAGAAATTCCATGTGGTCGAGCGGCGGTATAAAGTAAACTAAATAAAAAGTGAATTTAATTAAATAAGTGAAATAATCATTCATTATTGAAAACATAACTTAATAATAAAATACCTAAAATCACTGGCATATGCAATTGCACTTTTGTGAAAAGAAATATCATCACCTAATTTTCCTTTTGCCTTGATCCACATTTTCTTTTATTATAATATCCAACAAATGAATTATATAGCTTTATTAACCCCAAACTTTGTTATATCGTTATTTTACCTGATTGTTTGATTGTTTCGGATATAAAAGATCATTCACTTCAAGAATCTCTGTATTACGAATCTCAATTGGCGAATTCTATTTAAAATATTCAAGAATTTATAAATAAAATCAATTTAAAATAAAACTAAATTATTTATTCGAATAAAAACCTCTAGTTCTAATTTCTTTTCCAAATACTTTGCATACCATCTAGGTACTTTTTCTTGTTTTACAAATTCTCGCATTAATTCTTCTTGTCTGATTAAATTTTCATAAATAAGGCTTAATTAATTAATAAATAAATAAATAAACAAACATATTTAATAAAATACATACGAATTGAAATTTTCTGGACCCAGACATTCAGGCATAGGATACTGATGTTCTATACCTGAAGGTTCAGTCACCGTAAAGCTACAAATCAAAGTGAATATACATCGCCCTTTTTGTATGGCTTTTACTGTTCTAGTGCAATAACTTTTACCTGACAAATTAGCAAACGATTGAATTATTGAATGTTTATTTATTGATTGATTGAATAGCATAAATTAAAAAATACCATCTCTTATTCGCTCAACTTCATAAAGGATAGGAATTATATTATCACCAGGTAAAACAAAATAAGAGTGTAAAGACTAAAAATATATATTTTTAGGTTATAATATAAATTTTATTATTACAATAAATTCAAAGCATATATGAATTTTTTAATTACGTGAACATTAAATTCTTTTGGAGTAGTTTTGATTGCTGCCACGAGTGCTTGACCTACTATTTGACCACCAAAAACTCCTCTGCCCCCTAAAGGTATCCGTAAGGTCCTACTTCTGTAATAATTTACGTCGATTTCTTCAAGTTCCAATGCACTTTCAATCAAAGACATTGTAATATCAATATCGATATCAAGAAAATCGCGATATAAATAAAATTCCTAAATTATTACAGGACAACCATTTTAAGATTTTTAAGATTGAAGATTATTATCGCAAAATTTAGAAACACTTGCAAGTGTCGCAAATTCCTTTGGGACTTGACTAACAAATTACTTCTTTATTGAATCTTAACTTATAATGGAGTATGATGACGCGATCTCTGAAGATAATGAGAATACGTTAAAAGGGTTAGACGACCGCGCGTCTTTCTTTCTATCCCAGTCGCGTACTCGCCAGTCAAAACGTCAATCTGACGGAAAACATAGTCTTGTTTCCAAATCAGATACGTTAAAAGGTACCTCTGGTGTCATAGAAATTGATTCTAAGTACTTCTCTTCGAACGCTCAAATAGAAGTCTTCGAAAACAATAAAAAGAATCCCGATGTTCTTGCAAACGAACTGGAACGTGCCTCAAAGATGTTGGTTTCAGCACAACAAATTGAGAATAATTCTATTGATTCTAGTCAACAAATTGATAAAAATTTTCAGAAAGAAAGAGAGTACAATTATGAGGACGAAAATGAGAACAGCTCTTTCGGACAGAGTGAATTTAGTGATCCGCAGCAGTATATTCTCTTTCTTAAAGAAAAATACGAAAAAAAAATGCAAGAAATGGCAACACGTATTGAAGAGTTGGAAACGGAAAAAGACTTAGCTGAAGAAGAAAAAATGGCCATCGAGGAAGATAAATTTACCACAGAAGCCAAAGTGGAACAACTCGAACGTCAAGTTGCTGATTTGATGCGTCAGCTCGAAGAGCATCACAAAGAAACCCAATTTAAATTGCATGCTTCTAACGAAAAAATTGCTGAATTAAAAGAAAAGACGAAAGAGCTCAGAGAAGAGAATTTAATATTGCAACAAGAACGCGATATTTTTGATGAAGAAAAAAAAGAATTAACGAATCAATTGGAAGAATTAAGTAATAAAATTAATGATCTAGAGGGGAAAAATATCAAATTAAGGCATACTGTAGAACATTTGGAATCAAGAAATACGAAATTAGAAGCTGAGATGCTAGAGGCTAACGACAGAGCTACCAAAAAAATATCTAGCTTAATGGATGAAGTAGGTCAACTTGGAGAACAATTGGCTATGGCACGGGGTCAGGGAGAAGAATGGATTGAAGAGTATCAAAGAGAACAAAAAAGAATTGAGTCGCGATTGCGAGACCTAGGTGAGCAACTTCGTAATGCAGAGAGACAACAATTATTCTTGGAAAACCAAAGAAATTCTCGCTCGTCTCGTAGAGATGAATTAACACTTGAAATAGAAAAATTATCCGCTTCAGTTGAGGATTTATCTCGTAATTTGGAAAGAAAGAATAAGGAGTTAATCTCCTTGAACAGTCGATATAAAACGAAAAAGGACGAGCTCGCGCAACAGCACAATAAAATACACGAGGACATTAAACAAATTGAAGACATTAATGAAAAACTTCGCGATGATTTGGAAGTAATTACGAAAGAAAGGGATCAGTTAGAAAATCAAATGGAAACCACAGAAACACAAGCAAATGACCTTATAAAGAAAGTAGAAGAATTAGAGGAACACAAGTCTAATTTAACAGCACAAATTGAACACTTAGGAGCAGAAATAGCGAATATAGAAGATTACCGATCTTATTTGCAGAATCCAAGTAGCTTGAATAATGAATTAAGCGATACTCGTCTCTTGAGAGAAGAGATTTCCAGACTTCGAGATGAGAATAAAAAACTCAGTAATGATAAAAAACGTCTTGACGATGAAAAATCCAGATTGGAGATTCATTTGACTGAAATGGCAGATATGGCACAGAAATCATCCGATCAATCAACAGAGAATGCTCAGCGCAACCAAGATGTAACGATGCTGGAAACCGTAAAGGAGATGGAAGAGAGAATGACTGAATTCGAAAACGAAATCGTTGGATTGCGAGCCGAGCGTGCATCTCTTGTAGCTCAATTGGCTGCTCAAGAAAATCAAATTTCCCTTTTACATAATTTACGCATGGCATTAGACCACGCGAAAAAACAGCTTTTATCTCGAGAAAATGAAATCCAGGAACTTAAATCAAGAATTGAATTGAATGAATTAAATATGAAATCAAAGACGCTCGTTATTGAACAATTGCAAATTGAAAATTCCAACATTGCACATAATGCAGCAGAAGTATCCTCAAGTACAATTTCATCATCCGGATCTAATATTGCAGTGATTGAGCATGAACGTTTATTGGATGAGTTGAATGCAAAACTTGATGAGGCACATGTTGAAATCGGCAAATTACGTTATCAGCTCACAGAGGCTGCCCAAAGGGCACAAGATGATATTAGAGATGCTAAAATAACAGAACTCGAATTTCAAAAATCTGAATTGGAGAAAATATTACGAATTAGGGAAGAATTATTAATGAAGGAGCAAAATAAATCAAGATCTCGATACTTCTCTAATGAAAATACACGTGGTGAAATTATCGAAGGTATAAGCGGGCTCTTGTCTAATACATCTAATTCAGTTGATAAGGTACCCAGAAGAATATTAAATTAACAATATAATTGATTTTCTAATTAATGGATTGACCTTAATGACTTTTTATTGCTATATAGCTTACAAATTTATCATTTTCTCATGAAATTACGTGGTTGAGTGCCGCAGAAATCTCTTTTCATGGATCGACGCCTGCTCGAAATAATGTAAAGATTAAATCTTTGCAACCTGACTTTCAATCACTGAAAGCCCAAGTTGACGATTTAAATCAACGTCTAGAGACTAAAAATATAGACTTGGAAAAAGCTATTTCGGCTGGCCGTGGTCTCACTCTTACCCTAGAAGAAGCACAAAAAAAAATGCGTGAAATGGAAGACTTGATGCAAGATTCGGAAAAATCGATGGTCATTCTCCAACAAGAACTGATCCGAAAACAAAAATACAATGAAGAATTGGAGCAGCAGTTAAAAGAGTTAAAATGTCTCCAGCAAGGTGGAGTAATAGAAATGGAAGGCATTGACGTGCAATCTAATAATATTGTTTCCATCCATCATAATACAAAGTCGAATCAAAGCATGACGTAAATTTTTTGAAATTTAATGTGAAAGTAAATGTTTGTTATCTAATTTTTTATATACAAACACTCTTTTTGTTTTTATATTAAAGGATTGAAAAGGAACTTGAAACAACTCTGCAAAAGAATATGCAAACAGTAGAATATTTGGGCCATTTGGTAAAAGTTGTCTCTCAGCAAAACAATTTTTTGAGGGCAAGTAATAATAAGGTCGATACAACTACATCACCAATCAGAGGGTCCGATTCTATGAAAAATGTACAAACTTTACTTGAAGGACTATCACAACAAGCTTCTCAAATGCAGAAAATGATGGAGGACAATGGAAATATTCTGAAAAGATTGGCTTCTACTGCCCTTTCAGATTCATCTACAAAAAAACAAAAACGCCAGAGTACTAGATTAAGTAGTATTTCCCGAAATGCTCCCAACTTGAAACAAATTGACGATACAATTGAAATTAAGCGAGAGGATTTACAAGCTATTGTACAAGCTGGGAATGATTTGTTTAAACACCCCGCGCAATTTATGTCTCGAATTGACAATTTTGCATCAACTGTCTTGGATAATGAAGTACGTTCAATCGAATCTCGAGATTTATATCAACTCATCGGGGAACTTGCTCCAAACTTAGAAACTACCGCTAAAAAGATAGAAACATTGACTGGATCGCTACAAAAGGTCTTGAGGGGTGATTATTTTTTTACAATTATTTTTTCGCAGTTCCATTTTTATTCATATTGTATCTTAGGTTAATTCTTTTTATTGGTTGAATCTTTTATTATTTTAGAGTTCAAAAGAAATAGTGAAAGTGTAAAAGAAAACGTGGCTGCACATCAATCTGAAAAGTTCAACATTTTAATTACCAGTGTACACGAATTAACAGCTAATAATATGCATTTGGCCATGCAAATGAAACAACTTGCTTCCGCGCTGATTCCCAGTCAAAGGACAGATGAAAATTCATTTATAAAAATTCCTTCTCTCGTTTCTAATTTATTGACCGATGAACCAAACGACCAAAATGAAGTTGAAAAATTAAGAAAATTGGTTGCCACACAAAGCCAATTAATCAGTGATTATGAGGCGACTATTGAATTATTCAAAAGGAGTGAGCAGGATGCGCAGTCATTACGTGCTGCACTAAGTGCTATAACGGATATTGATCTAAAGGGTGCCGAAAACAATAATAATCAACTCCAATCTCAAATACAGGAATTTCGCAATCTCTGGTTACAGGAATCGGATGCTAATAAATCTTTGAAGTTAGTCATGAAAGAAATGAAAGCCTCCGCAAATAAAGAAGAAACGAAATTACGAAAAGAAATAGAATTATTAACTTCTCAAATAGCAAATTTATCAGAGAAATTACAAACATTTAAACTCCGAGCAGAGAAATTCGAACAAAAATTCCGAGAAAAAGAAGAAGCTTTAAAAAATCATACTGAGATTGAAAAAAAATTACGCCAGGAACGAGATGCCATGATAAATGGACATGCACGAGAACTTGAAACATTGAAACATCATTGGGACAAAGAGCGTGCGATGCTTACCGAATCTACAACAAAAACCAAGACTCAACAATTAGCAACAATTGAGGGGAACCATAAGGAACTAGAAAATACGTGGAAACAGGAGAAAGAAACATTGACGAAAAAATTGCGAGCACAAAAGGAATCATTTGAGCGGGAGAATAAGTCTCTTCAAAAGGTTTATATTATAATTATTATTAGTTTTCTCTTGCTTGCCTAAATAACTTGCTTACAATATTAAACATGAATTCAGGAAATTGAAAAATTAAATTCTAAGCTTAAAGATTTTGAAATTGAAATTCAGTCCATCACCGCCAACAAAAGACAGTTAACTTTGGAAAAAGCTTCTTTAATTAAAGAAAAATCAGAATTGCAGCAGCAATTGGATAACTTTTATAAAGTAGGAGAAATTTTAGATTATAAAACAAAAATTCATTCCAAAAAAATCTTCAATTAGCTGACCATTCCGAGATTTGAGGCAGGAATCCGAGCGTTATCGAAAGAAAAATTCTTCGGTCGCGGAATTGGAAAATCGTATGCGACGTCTACAGAAAGGTAATCGTTATCATATTAATCTCAAGTTTTCCGTAATAGAAAAGCTTTAAGCTATAACTGTTCCTACTTGATACATTAGAAAAAGACGTGAACGCAGAACGAGCAACTCAAAAAATCGCTGACCTTCAAAAAGAATTACAAGACACTGTAGATAAGGTCTCCAAGTTAACAAAAGAAAAGAGCGCGCTTACAAAAGATAAATCAGAATTGAATCGAAAATATATGATTGCCGATGAGGTATGTTCTTTAATAATGTTTTTCGTTGATATTCGTTATTCCAGCTAATTTAAGATTTTGTGCATTGAAGATGAAGGATTCACTAGAAGCTGAAGTACGTGCTAACAAAGAACACATGAAAGCGCTTGAAGTAGAAATTCAGAATTTGACTGATCAATTACAATCTGAAAGACGTGATCATCAATCTAAAAACGAGCAATTATCCCGATATGAAGATGAATTGCAGGCTCAAGAACGACTCCGGGAAGAAGTCGAACAGTTGCAAGATACTCTTTCACATGAAAGAAATCAACATCAGATTCAAATATCGAAATTTGAATCGTTGTTAAATCAACGCAGATCAACTTCAGATTCTTCAGAAGAAGTAAAGAAACTCAATTGTGAATTGTCTGCTGCAAATTCTAGGATTAAAGAAATTCAAGAATCTGCGCACACTGCTATCAATTCGCTCGAAGAAGAAATTAAAATTACAAAACAACAACTTGTCTTGATACAAAGGGGACAGACTAATAATCATTTACGGGCACAAGATTCAGCTATTGCACTTATAGATAAATCTGAAATTCAGGTTTGTATTATATTATCACATAGCAATTATTTTTGGATTTTTCTCTTTTTAGTCTGAAATTGTTCAATATAAACAGAAATTCCAATTGGAATTAAATAAAGAACGTAAACGCCACGCCGAGGAACGTAGTCTGTTAATAAAAGAGGTTCGTTATCAAAAAGCGAAATGGGTTCGCGAATCCGGTTTTCGAGCCGATTTAAGTTACCAAAAAAAGTTCATACTGCTTTTGCTTGGTGGCTTAGAATCATGGTTAGTTACACTATTACTTTGACTCGTAAATGATGTATTTTATATCTTTTTATTTTTTTATTTACGAATGTTTATTCTTTAGCGATCACGCCACTTCACTATTGATTTCTATCCCGCAATTCGCACAAACTTCACGCCTTTTATTAAAATTCAAAAGTGCTGTAACTGCCATAATAGCGATTCAACGAATGAGGTGATTTGTTTATTTTTTTTTGTTTATTATGTATTGAATACAACTTAATGTAATTTGATTTTATATTTGAAATAGAATTCTAAAAAATTCATGGAATCAAACTCGAGATTTAAAACGTCTTACACAACAGTAACAAACTTGAATTTATTTTTGTTGACTAAATATATTAATAATGCATAGAATTACATAATGTAAAGGCTAGTACAAAATTAGTGTTCGACAATAGATTTTTATTTAGATTATCGTTACATGATTTGATTTGATATTACTATTTATAACCCATATTGTTAATTATCTAATTTGGGATTCTTTAACAATTTTTTGCAACATTGTAAAATTGAACACGGAAGACTTTAAGAAAATAGTATAAATAAACGTGTTTTTGCGGGCATTTTTGCATTGAATAAAAGAATATATTAGCGAGTTATGAACTTGAAATGTTTTATATTTAACAGACACACAATAGAATCATCGTATATAATATATAATATATCGATATAAGTTAAAATAAAGATGAAAACTGTTACAATTCGTTTTGTTGTATTTGTATGTGTACTATTAATATCTTTTAATAATACTTCGGCTCAAATGAACTCTGTGACTACATTATCATCAGCATCCTCTACATCACCATCCGCATCAAAACTAACATCCGTTTCCTCATCATCATCATCAGCTTCGGAAAAATCATCTAGTTTATCAGAAACTTCTACTTACACTTCATCTTCATCGTCGTTGTTTTCATCATCATTATCATCCTCGTCACCTATATTATCTACAATTATAGTTACAATTTCTTCATCCTCTAAAACCATCTCAACTTCCACCTCACAGTCATTGTCAACAATAATTCCCACTCAATTAGCAACAAAAAAAGGATATGATTATCCATCATCAATATGTCTAACAGGGTGTATAATTCAATGGATAGTGGTATCAGTAATCGGTGCAATCTTCTTGATTTTTCTAATTTGGCGCACTTTAGCCTGTTATTGTTATAGAAGAAAAATGCAAAATACCAGCTTGAAATCAAATGCAACAACAAAGAGATATTCAAATTTATCTAATGGTAACAACAATCACGACAAAAATAATAATGATAATGTAAACTTTGCCGGATCAATGACTTCATCTGTAATCCAAAGACCGGCAGCTTCATATACCCGAGCACCAATGACTTCCATGAAATACTCAAGACCACCATCAATTATAAAAAATTCACCGCATCAATTATCGATTTACAGGCGTTCAAGTGCGTATATATCGTCGTCATCACGAATTAGTCGTAATTCTAGCATAGACCATTCGCGAAATTCATTTATAGGTGTCGTATCGCCACCACCCTCTTTTTCCAAAGAAAACTGTGATAGGCCAATATTTATTAATATAAATTCAAATGAAAACCCATTGTCATCATCACATAATAATAATGATGGTAAACTATTAAAAGATAACAAAATTAGTGGAATAGAGAATAAAGGTGAATTCTTATCCCAGAGTAATTTCGTTGATCATTATCATTCACGAGACAACAGTCAATTTGGATTAGCAGAAAATATTTCAAAAGACGATAATTCTAGTAATCTTAATAATATGAATGATTTGGAACAGCAAAAAAATCATGGTCAGGAAACTGCTCATGCACTTCGTAATTCAGTGCATTTGAAACATATTCTTGGATTAGATGATAA